GGGCTGGGGCAGACCCCATCCAGGGCTCCAGCGATCGTCCAAAACGCGCTCAGGGCTCCTGGGATCACGCGCTGTGGGGGACGTGTGTGTAGAAAAGATCAGCTGAACCCAGGAGCCTCTGGCGTGGGGCTTCCCCACCAGAATGAGCATGGCGGGATGAGCCACCTTGGCTTCCCTGGAGCACTTGGCACGTTGCTGGCACATGGGGAGAGGATGAGGAGAGGGAGAGGTGCCATAGAGCACCCGACCCTTCGGCAGGGTGCTCCGGAGAGGCGGTGGCTCCAGCCCTCCCTGCAGGGGACGGGCAAGCGCAGCCCCCCTGGCTGTTTGCTGGGTTTTCCCAGCAGGGTTCGCTGCTGGATGTGGGGTTTTGTGACGGGGAGCATTCCTGGAACGGTGGGAATGCGGGTCCCTGATCCCTGGTGCCTGGCCGGCTCAGAGACCAGCGACTCCCACTCCTTCTGGAGCGATCCCCTGTTTGTCACGGAGAGCAGAGCTGCTCCGTGGCCGTGTCCCAGGGCACATCCTCACCCGGGGGGCGACATCCTCGAGGGATGTCCTCCGAGCCCGGTGCCCCTCTGCTCCTTGGAGCCCTGTAGTCCTTCCCTGTGCAAAGGCTGGCCAGTCCTGGCTGAAGGAGAAAATGGTCCAAACCCCTGTGGGTTTCTGGTGGGAGTTAATACAAACACCTCTTTCCACGGAACATTTCACCGGTGTCTCTCAGCCTTGTCTGGTCCCTTTTCAAGTGTCTCGCGTCTCGAAAGCGGCCGGAGCTCTGTGCCACGGGGCAGAGCAGACCGGGGCGCTCCCGGCTGTTGCTTTCCCTTGTCTTGCCAGAATCAAGCCCTGCTCCAAGAGAGCAGAGCGACTTCCCTCTCTGCTGTCTAAATCCCATCTAAATCATCTCCATATCTCCCTTTCCTCTCCAAATGCATTGGCTCTCGGCCCTGGCATCCCTGGGTCCCGATGCACTTTGGTCTCACCCTCCGGTGGCCCCTGAACGGGCGCAGCCCACATCCCCCACCCCTCACCGTGCTTCCTCCCCTCTTCTCCGCAGGGTCTCGATGACTACGGGACGAGGTCCGTCAGCAGGTAAGGCTTCACCTTCCTCTCCGTGTTACCTGAGAGCGCGCTGTTGGCGTTGGCCGGGGGCGCAGCCCGCGGG